CCAACAAAGCGATTTCTGTCACGCTGAGTGCTCCGACACAACAAACGACACCTGCAGAACAATCTGATGCTACGAGATTCCTTAAGAATCTGCAGACGCAAACAAATTCCACCTGTGTGCCTGCGGCATCTCTAGGACCGGAACGAGTCCTACCCAGTCTCTCAGCCTCTCCAGTAGCAGGTGATGGTCAACAGTGTCAAAGGCTGAAGTCAGGTCCAGCAGGACCAGAACAGAACAGTCCCCTGCATCACTGAGAGTCAGAAGGTCATTAGAGACCCTAAGAAGAGCTGTTTCAGTAGAATGAGCTCTACGAAAACCTGACTGGAAGCTATCATAGATGTTATGTTCATCTGCAGCTGTGAGTTGTTTAGCCACAACCTTTTCCAAGATCTTGGAGATGAACGGAAGTTTAGAGATGGGTCTGAAGCTGCTATGGAGAGAGGGGTTGAGACTCGTTTTTTTAAGAAGCGGGTGGATTACAGCATTCTTAAAGTAAGCAGGGACCTGACCAGAAACCAGAGAAGCATTAATTATAGAGAGCACGCTGGGACCGATGGACAGAAAAGCATTTTTAAACAAAGATGAGGGTAAGTTGTCGAGGGGGCATGCAGAGGTCTTCATAGAGTTAACTAGTTTGGTTAACTCAGGCAAAGAAATAGGAGCAAAGCTATCTAGGATGATGGGCCTGGTTGGAGTCGGGAGAGGCAGCGATAAGGCTGAAGGAGAGATGCTAGATCTAACCTTATTGACTTTGTCCACAAAGAAAGACAGAAAGTTCTCACAGTCTGCAACAGAGTGGATGGAGGCTGTAGGAGAGGCAGGAGAGACGATGCTGCTGATGTTTTTTTTTTTTTTTTTACCGTGTCCTGTCTGGCTGTGAAGCAAGCAGAATTGATGTCTGAATGCTGGTGACAAGCCTTACAGATTTATTCTCAGGTGGAGCATCAAAGCGTTTGCTTTTAATGTCACGCCTGATACTTAAAACTTTATTGTTATTGTTGTTGAATGCTTTGTAACTCCGACCAGACACGAAGACAGAGGTGTAAGAGAAAGGAAAAGAAAAGGTGGGGAGAGAGAGAGAGGGGGGGGGGGGGGATCCACAAAAATAAACAAAAATGAACAAGAGTCTGCTTCTAGACCTGCAGAAAAAAAGACAAAAAAAAAACAAAGGGACACAAAAAAAGGGACACAAAAACAATACAACAAGATCTACCTATCACTGCGTCAACTTGATGAAAAGAAAATATATATATATATAATCAATATTGCTTAACTGAAGAATCACGGTAATAAATCACAACGCATTAAGTGCCCACCATAGTCTTAAGACCTGTGTTTAACGTGCCCAAGCCCATACTTTTGAGAGCACCATGTGAGCACCTGTGTGTGTACACACGCTTGTTTATTTAAGGCTTTTCTATAGGAGCGCCCAACAGAGAGTGTGAGGGACCACAGATCCACCCCCCAAAGATGCGCAGGAGACGGGGGGAGCTCCAAGTCCCAGAGATCCAGGCGCTGCTCCAGAACGCAGGAACCCCAAGGAGACTGCAACCAGGAAAGCCCCCGCCCCCCTCGAGAGGCACAGAGGATCGCCCCGGGGGGCCACAACCAGCAGCTGGCAGAGTCCCTGGAGATATCAGCGGCAAGCCCACAGGCCCGCCCGCAGCCTCCCACCCCCTAGCCGGCCGAGCCCGGGACCCAGCGACCCGGGACCCAGGGGCGACCACCCCCGCCGGGGACCCAGCAGAGCCCAGGGACCCAGACCCCACCAGGCAGCCACCGGGATCTAACAGGCAGATGCCAAAATCTTAAACCCCCCAGACCCGGTTGCCACGAACACTCAGGCAGACCAAAGCACATGCCCCCACACCAGGTGTGGCAGGGGGAGGGGGGACAGAGATCTATATCATCAAGAGAAGTTCCAGGAGAGGGGAGGACCCAAAGGCCCCACCTGACATATACAGTCATACACAAACACAGTCACACGCTCCCTCCCTCATTCTCACACATGCACATACAACCCAAGACTTACAAAAATGCACGCCGGACACCCACTCATGCTCCCCATACACACCCTATTCACTCTGGTCCCGGTACTGCTGCACATTGGGTACAACCATCACCGGTAACCAGAGTTTGACCCTTTCTGCTGGGGTGCTGATGAGCAGGCTCCCCCGCCCAACGCTGAGCACAGCAACCCACCACCCCAGACCCCAACCAGACGGCCAGATCTCCCTCCTAACCTCCAGCCCCAGGAAGCCTAGCAACAACAGAGGTGGCTAAGACCCCTAGTTTCCCTCCGCCTGCTCCAATATAGTGTTGTGTGATCATGAGGTGTATTCCATGGCTGTGGTGAGTGGGCAGTGCGGGCATCATCCAGCATATGCCAGCTGATGCCACTGCACCACCCCACTTACACCCTCAGCCATCAGTGTCTAAGTGCGGTTTAAAATTGGAAGTGGGCACCGGCACTCGGGAGGAGGCTGAAATATCCCCCTGCCAAATGCCGTTGAATGTGCTCACTCCCAAGGCCCTAAGTGTGTGTTTGTGTGGAATGTCGTCAGTGGAAGTGTATAAGGTGCAAATAAAATTGGGGGGCAGGTTTCCACAGGAATGCGGAAATGGGGTCCATACCCGCACTCCCTGACTTGCCTACCCCCCAAGGTCCTATGTGTATGTTTGTGTGATGATGCGAGGGAGCAGGAGGAGAGAAATATGCGGGGATGGGGAGGAATGGCTGGTTGGGCTTAGCCCTCCAGGGAGCCAGCTCCCCTACTGGCCCCAATAGGCACCTCTGTTGTCAAACTGCCACCCAGGGCATGGAGACCCCAGCCCATCCTGCCAGGGCCCAAAGCAGCAGCATTACAGGGGCATGCAGAGGTCTTCATAGAGTTAACTAGTTTGGTTAACTCAGGCAAAGAAATAGGAGCAAAGCTATCTAGGATGATGGGCCTGGTTGGAGTCAGGAGAGGCAGCGATAAAGCTGAAGGAGAGATGCTAGATCTAACCTTATTGACTTTGTCCACAAAGAAAGACAGAAAGTTCTCACAGTCTGCAACAGAGTGGATGGAGGCTGTAGGAGAGGCAGGAGAGACGATGCTGCTGATGGTTTTAAACAGCACCTTGGGGTTCCCTTTGCTCTGGGACACCAGGTTGGAGAAATAGGAAACCCTAGCGTCTCTGACTGCAGACTTAAAGGATGTCAGAAGATCCTTTAGGTGCAGCAGATGGACGTGGAGATGGGTTTTCTTTCACAAGCGCTCAATTTTTCTGCATTGGCGCTTTAGGCTGCGAAGGCTGTCATTAAACCAGGGAGTAGGGTTCACTGCAGGAACTGATCTGGTTCCGACAGGACAGATATTGTCCAGAATAGAGAGGCAATGCTCGTTGAACTGAGAAGTTAAGGAATCTGGGTCGTTATCAGAAGAACAGGGTGGATCAAAAGCAGCAGAAAAAATTCTAGCTGTGCTCTCATTAAGAAAACGAGAACTAACCATACGGCGAGCAGGAGGTGGGGATGCAGAAACTGAAGAGTTAGAAAATGCAATGGTAATCTGAAATATAAACGTCCTCAGGACAAACACTGTCAGCATTTAGACCCAGTGTAAAAACAAGGTCCAGTGTTCCCCCTGGTGTGTGTGGGGCCAGAAACATGCTGGGTAAAGCTGAAGGAGTCCATAAGGCTGGAGAAATTCATAGCAAATTGGTCTGAAGGATCATCAAAGAGGATGTTATAATCACCAACAATCACCAGTCTGGACAACTTCTCAGTGGAGGATAGAAAGTCACTAAACTCCTGAAGGAAAGAACTCTTTGGACCAGGTGGACGATAGACCACAGCACAGTATAGAACGGGTCCTTATGCCCGACTTTAATCAGCTGCAGTTCAAAGGAAGCAAAGTGACCAAAGGTTGTAGAGCTACATGGAAGATGGTCTCTGAAAACAACAGCTAGGCCTCCACCATGACCAGAACCCCGGGGCTGGCTAAGAAAAGAATAACCACTCGGGCAGAGTTCAATCAGACCAGAATAATCAGAAGTTTGCTGCTAAACTTCAGTCAAAAACAGAAAATCCAGGTTTTTAGAGAGAATTAAATCATTGAGCAGGAAAGACTTATTGTTAACAGAGCAGGTATTTAATAGAGCCATGCTGAGTGAGGTGGTGGAATCAGAAACTACAGAAACAGCCGGAGTTAGTGGACGTAAATTAGCAGGGTTAGATCCACGGTGTTTATAAAAACCACTTATGGAGGGAACAGGAGGAGAAACCACTGCGGAATGAGGATAAAGCTTTACTTCTACTCTCTGAAACATGAGAGTGTTTCTTTCTCAGAGAATGACTCACAGGGCATTTATTCATTCATCGTCAATGTTTACATAGAATTAAATAAAACTCAACTTTATTAAATTATAAAAAAAGATCAGCACTGGCTGATGTGTAATCATAACATAAATGAGAACATTTTCAGAACAAAAGAATAAGTGGAAGTGCTGAATGAAAACCCACACAGAGAATCAACAGTAAATATGTCTCATTTAAAAAGTATCCTAATAAAATGAGATCCATGAAGGTAAATCAAAGGAAAAACCCCCAAAGGTACAACTTGGTTAGATGGTTTTTGATTTTTTTTTTTTTAACAAATTTGTATTTTTTAATACCTTGAATTGCTTAACTGATGGCATTTTGTGCAGAGTGGAAGCCCTTAGCAAACCGCAGAAACATTAACTCACTCTCTGACCTTCATTTAATGATTTAAAGGGAGGGAGAGGATGCAACAGAAACCTCTAGAAATTACTACAGAAGAGTAATTGCTGCTGTCTGTGTCTCTTTAATTGAACCTTTAACTGCAGTGCATGTGAAGGAGAGCAGTGTGAAGGTAAAGGTAAAAAAAAAAAAGTATGATTAGGTGAGAAATTCTGACACTGTTAAATAACCGCAGCAATTAAATAACCACTGAAACAAACCTGTTTTTTTTCCTTTTCCTTTTTTGGCCCTACAGGAGGAAAGGAAAACAAGATGCCCATCCTCATCTCCAAAATTTTTAAAGGCCTGGCTGCTGACCAGACTGAGGCGCTTTATGTTGGCGATGCCATATTGTCTGTCAACAGTAATGATTTACGGGAGGCCACACACGATGAGGCTGTGCAAGCGCTTAAAAAAACTGGCAAAGAAGTCATTCTTGAAGGTAAGATATTTTTCATTCCGAGAGAAACAAACTGGATGAACTTGGTGGCTCTGCTTCTAATAAGAATTAAACCTTCCTAGATTGTTCTATTTCTAATTTTCCTCTGCTTTAATGTGTAGATGTCCTGTAAAAATATTAGGATGTAACAAGACTCCTTTGCAAAATGTGTCATAAAGGTTTCAGCAGCATGAGAAAGATACTATTGTTTTAGCGATAAATGTATGAATGCTTGATTATGATGTAGGATCGGGAAGCAAAGTAAGAAAGATGCAAATCTAATCTACACCACTGCCATGCTAAATGCAGACACCACATTTTTTTCTAATTGATTACAAATACTTACAATTGAATACTTGCCTTTATTGAGTACAAGTACTAATTAATGTCATTACACTCTTTAAAATGAACTTATAAAATGTTTATTTTCATCAAGCATATTAAACAAATAAATGTATTTTACTGGTATATAACGATTCTCTAAAGCCTGATTTATACTTATTTGTTAGCTCGAGTGCAGAGTCGCGCTAACTCATTGACCGAGACGTTTTTCCTTTAAACTTTGTTGCCTGGGGAGTGTTGCAAAGCAAAACCCCATCAAGACAACAGAGGATGCAATGTGTTTTGGAGGGTTTCCTGCCACAAAAGCAGTCTTGTTTCTGGTCCACGATAATGTATTTACTATTGTGTGTTTATATGATGTTTGTGTATTCCAGGTGTATAAACGGTCATATAGTCTAACCTTTTCTGCAAGACGTTCTCTGATCTCCTCCGTGCCTGTCGGTACTCATTTATTTTTTGAGGGGGGATAGGCCGTGCTATTGACAGATTTAAAGGAAGTGGCATCCTGACCAATCACAAGCTTGCAGTCTTTGTCTATTTTGATGGCCAGTGAAAAAGTTTGGCATGTCTCCGTCAACCTCTGCAGGCCTGCTGCATAGACCTTGCATTAATGCATCATGGCATTGCGTGTCTCCGTACTCACGCAGATGGAGATGTGTAAATCAGGCGTCACTGCCATAAAAACCACACTCAGACCGGGATGTTACCTGTTCGCTAACTAATAGCTCAGGCTAGCATTGTTCAGTGGTTGGCACACAAAAATGTGGTGCATCACCACCACCAATATTTACATATTGCCAACGTTAACTCATTCACTGCCGGCCATTTCCTGATCAGTAAAGCCCTTCGATGCCAGAGTTTTTCAGCGTTTTTACTGGGTTTTTTTAAGAGTCACAGAACGTTGCGCGCTAGGAGGATGTAAACGCCAAAACTAACAAAACAAAGAGTAGACTCACCTCTTACATCAGGAAGAATCTGCGCGTTTCGAGTGTTATCGGTTCTTTCATAATCTGTTGTCAAATTGTGATCGGTAGAAGCTTTTCCGGTTTGCGCTTGACTTTTTATACAGCAGTGGCCCAAAACGATCTCCTAACACATGGATGTTCTGCTTCCTGATCACGTGATGTGTGACGTACGTGGATGGAGATCAGCTTTAGAGCTGGGGTGTTTGTTCTCACTGTGCGGAGACTACGCCCACCCAGTAAAAAAATGCAGTTAATGGTTGGATTGAAATTGACGACTTTAGTCGTCAATGGCAGTGAATGAGTTAAGTAGTCTACAGCTCCACATAGATAGATGACATGTACTAATGTATTTCTCTAGTTTCTCAAGTTTACCATTTAACACTTAGTTGTCACAGGCTTAGCTATACATTCTGTCAATCTTTGATCAGATGTTCATAGAAACATCTAAACAATTTACTGAACTGAAACAGTGAGATTAATCTAAAAGGAAAACCCAAATAATAAAACTTTTAACGCTTATATTTGAACATTTCAATATCCTTGGAAGGAATTTTGATTTGGGCCAATTGTTGGGCTTTGCAGTGACTTTACTGTATTCTTATATGTATTTTCTATTAAAGATTTTCATTTAAAAGTACAGAAAGATAAGACCAGTTAAGAATACATTATAGATCCTTTGAATGTATCTGTTTCCAGATGAAAAACCTAGTAGACAGAAAAAACAGTCTAATGTTCAACACGTTCACGGAAGAACTTGCAGGAAAAATAAGGGTTATGTTTGCCATGACAGCATTTTTGTGGGTTAACTTTTATAGTTGTCCAGCCTCAGAAAGTAGAGAAGATGCAATCTAATCTACAAGAAACGGAAATCACTTCAAATCCTGCTGCTTTAAATAAAAGTGTTGATATCAGAGGACTCACGCTGAGATATACCGGGTCAAGAATCATTTCACGGGTTTCCCTTCTCCCTGAGGACTAGATTGAGGAGCGAGGAGATGAAAGAATCTTGGAGGCTAACTGAGTTTGGTTCAGAGTATGTGTGTGTCTGCAGATTGATCCACTTCTCACATTATCTAATATGTTTTTTAGAATGTCCTTCATATATATAAATTCTTTTTAGGAAACACACGAAACGAGTTGGTAAACTTTGACGCTGCAACTCTTCAGATTTTCCTTGGCTACAGTAAAAAAAAACGTGTAAATAAAAGTGACATAAAGTTCAGATACAATGCTTTATTTAGTATTGGCATTTTATCAAGATATTCAGAAACAGTCAGAAAGTAGCTCGTTCTTGGCAGTGCTGCATTGCTAAAGGTTGAGGCTTTTTTCATGCAGCAACAAACAACCACTGCTGCTGTGCTCAAGGCGGTTTTTAGAGCTCCGTGAAATTCATATGAAAGACGGCATTGACCGAGATCAAGGTGAAGCTGCTCCCGTCATGTTAAAACATCTCAGAGCAAACAGTAGGTCCATTCTCCGATAAGAGTTATGAGAAAAGAGCTATATTAACTTGTCGCAGGGGTTGTTTGAGGAAAGATTTCACAATATATGTGTCAGCGCGTGGCGGTGAATGTAGCGGATGCAAGGATCCATAGGCGGGTGAGGGAAGCAGGTAAGCAGGCACACAGGAACGATTAAAGGTTCTAATAGAGAACACGATAACATTGAAACAATGATCCAACAAGAGACAGAGAACTGAAGGGGTTTAAATACAAGAGGGTTGGGAGCTTGGGTGATTGGGAAACGAGAGGCAGGTGGGAGCAATTAACATGGACACAGGACTGAACAGAATGGGGGGACAGGGCAGGGTGTGACAGTACCCCCCCCCCCCCACACACACACACACACCTCAAAGGGTGGATTCCAGACACCCACAGGAGCATACAGCAGGGCGGGAGGAGGGGGACACGGAGGGAGGGCCGAGAGGGACCGATGGAGAGGAGGCAGGGACCAGTAGAGTCCGGGAGCCTGCGCCTGGGGCAGAGAAGGTGAAAACGGGCTCTTGGGGACCTGCGTCTGTGGCAGAGGAGGCGATGACGGGCTCTTGGGGGCCTGCGTCTGTGGCAGAGGAGGAGGCGACAACGGGCTCTTGGGGGCCTGCGTCTGTGGCAGAGGAGGCGGCGACGACGGGCTCTTGGGGGCCTGCGTCTGTGGCAGAGGAGGAGGCGACGACGGGCTCTTGGGGGCCTGCGTCTGTGGCAGAGGAGGAGGCGACGACGGGCTCTTGGTGGCCTGCGTCTGTGGCAGAGGAGGAGGCGACGATGGGCTCTTGGTGGCCTGCGTCTGTGGCAGAGGAGGAGGCGACGACAGGCTCTTGGGAGCCCACGCCTGGTGAGGGCAGGACTGGTGGTGACCGGAGGCAGAGACGCCGGAGGACACGTCTTTGACTTCTGGACTGGAGGCGGCGGCGACGACCTCAGGGCTGGAGGTGGCGGTGACGACCTCAGGGCCGGAGGCGGCGGCGTCGGCCTCTGGGCTGGAGGCCGGAGGCGTCGTCGTCGGGCCCTGGGCCGGAGGCATCGTCGTCTGGCCCTGGGCCGGAGGCGTCGTCGTCGGCCTTGGGGCCGGAGACGGCGTCGACCACTGGACTGGAGACGGCGCCGACCACGGGACTTGAGACGGCGCCGACCACGGGACTGGAGACGGCGCCGACCACGGGACTGGAGACGGCGCCGACCACGGGACTGGAGACGGCGCCGACCACGGGACTGGAGACGGCGTCGACCACGGGACTGGAGACGGCGTCGACCCCGAGACTGGAGACGGCGTCGACCCCTGGACTGGAGACGGCGGAGACGTTGGACTGGAGACGGCGGAGACGACGTCGACCTCTGGACTGGAGGGAACGTCGACCTCTGGACTGGAGGGGAAGTCGACCTCTGGACACGAGGGAGCGTCGACCTCTGGACACGAGGGAGCGTCGACCTCTGGACACGAGGGAGCGTCAACCTCTGGACACGAGGGAGCTTCGACCTCTGGATACAAAGGGGCGTCGACCTCTGGACTGGAAAGAGCGTCGACCTCTGGACTGGAGAGAGCGTCGACCTCTGGACTGGAGAGAGCGTCGACCTCTGGACTGGAGAGAGCGTCGACCTCTGGACTGGAGAGAGCGTCGACCTCTGGACTGGAGAGAGCGTCGACCTCTGGACTGGAGAGATCGTCGACCTCTGGACTGGAAAGGGCGTCGACCTCTGGACTGGAAAGGGCGTCGACCTCTGGACTGGAAAGGGCGTCGACCTCTGGACTGAAAAGGGCGTCGACCTCAGGACTGGAAGGGGCGTCGACTTCAGGACTGGAAGGGGCGTCGACCTCCATCGACCGGAGGCGTCGATTTCTGGTTCGTCGACTTCTGGACCGTCGACTTCTGGACCGTCGGCTACTGGACCATCGACTTCTGGACCGTCGGCTTCTGGACCGTCAACTTCTGGTCCGGGGGCGTCGACTTCTGGTCCGGGGGCGTCGGCTTCTGGTCCGGGGGCGTCGGCTTCTGGTCCGGGGGGGCGTCGACTTTTGGTCCGGAGGGGGTGTCGACTTCTGGTCCGGAGGGGGCGTCGACTTCTGGTCCGGGGGCGTCTGCTTCTGGTCCGGGGGCGTCTGCTTCTGGACCGCCGACTTCTGGACCGGAACCGTCGACTTCTGGAGTGGAGGCGGAGCCGCTGCAGGAGGAGCTGCCTCCCTGCCCGGGGGAAAAGCCTC